GGAAGAATAACGGCCCTGCAGGTGTCTAATGGCGAGCCCGCCCGCTAAGAGCGAAGATCGAACATTTTAGGTCACCAAGAACTAGACTCTGAAACGATGTAGAAAAAAATAAGAGGAGAAGATATTTCTATATTGAATTGTCTATATTGCAAGGAAACAATCCTTATTATATAAGAAGAGGATAAAACAAATAAGTAGACTTTTATTCTATAATTTTATTTCTTCTAAAATAAGAATTAAACTAATATAAAATAGAAAAAACGCAAAATGTCATAAGAAGTATTGGGAACCTTGCCCAATTTACATATTAAAGATTAAAATATGCACACATTTAATTTTAAGTAAATAGTGATTGAATTACCTAATAATTTTTAATATTTATAACTTTGACCCATTTTCAAATATATATTCGTTTAGAAATATTTACATTAAATAGCAATAAAACTTAAGTCATTTCCCTAAATAGCATTTAAATTGTTTTATTTCCTAAATAGTACTTAATAATGTCCATAATGTCCTATGATGGCGAATATTTACTTGAATAATAACTAATGCATAATGACTAAAAGTTGCTACATTGGGAAGAAAAACACATGTGGTGCTATTCAGGGAAAGTCTTATATTTGAGTGCTATTTAAGTAAATTCCTCATTAAGTACCAATCGAATAGATTATGAATATATTCTCATTCATTAACGTAACAAATAAAAAGTACTACTCAAATTCGATTTCAACTTTTACAAATAGAAATCTCTAAACACAAATCCAAACTATGGATCGAATCAAAATTACTACCTCCGTTCCACTATATTCGTCCACTTTTGACTTTTAGAATTGTTCATTTAAGCACTTTGACTCATCAAATTCTCTCATTGTGTAAGCCTAAATATAGTCATGTGTGATCTTGTTTGATTTGTCTTAACATATAGATTATTAATATATAACTTCTATAATTTTTTAATATACAAATTACAAGATAAAATGGATTAAAGAAGTGAATTGGATGGTGTGCAAAAATGAAAGTGGACAAATACTCTGCGACGGAGGGAGTATTTGTTTGGTTCATTTACAACCCTATTCGAAAGCTAGGAAATTAAAAGGAATAAATTATATACTCCCTTCGTTCCACAAACTCTTCCTATCACATTATATATACTCTCTCCTTCCCAAAAACTCATTCTCTGCCTTTTCTTTTTTTCCTGTTCCCACAAAGTCATTCTTTTTATTTAAAAACCTACTTTTACCCGTATTAATTCATAACCTATCTGTCACATCATACATTTTTACTAATAATCTATCTATTACATCATACTTTTACTCATCACATCACGAGTATTTTTATGAAGTGAACACAAAAATATAAATGTCCCTCCCTTAAATTTTTTAAAAGTCAAAATGGAAACATTTTTATGGAATGAGGGAAGTATTCACTAATAATTTACTCATCGCATCCTACTTTTACACATCATGTCAAGACTAATTTGAAAAAGTTACTACAAAAATATTTTTCTCAAATCTTACTCTCTCCGTCCCAATTTTGATTAGAACTTTTTTCTCTCACTTCTCAATAACTTTGTTTATTTGTGTGTTTTCATTGATTATTTGATAAAATAAAATATTTTTGTCAGCCCTTATTTTGTAGAAGTTTTGATGTAATTTTTCAATATGAAGTTTTTATTTTTTTATTGATGTAACAATTTGTAAATAAAATAAATTTAAAAGGTACAAGATTTTACCTCGTAAATTACAATTTGTAATCATATTTGAGACGGGGAGAGTGTAAAAATTAAAACAAATATCCTATCTTTAATTTGTCTTTCGTGAGAGTGAATTCACAAATGGATTACAGGTTCATAGTCTCTAGTCTCTGCCTACCTTTCCCTTGGCCCCAAGCTTTTGTAGTTGGCCTTGCACGATCACACATTATTTTTGTGTTCCTTTAGGGCCAACTCTGATGGATGGCTGAATAATGTAGGATATAGTATATGATTTTTTATCATATTATTATTATTATTATTATTATTATTATTATTATTATTATTATTATTATTATTATGAAAACAATTAAATCGAGTACGTCAATGTCAATTAAATAAAGAGATGAGATGAGAAACGTAACAAACGAATAATTGAAAGAAGAAGCTAAGCCAGATGATGCACGCACGTACATGGCCATATGTGTAATGTGTATGTGTATGGACAATGACATTATCTGGTGCATGCATGTAAGTTGTAAACATATCAGCAGCAGCTGTGAAGTGTGGTACGTGCCACCTACTATACTATACCTCCATGCACCTTTCATTTCCTATCTAATGACCAAATCAAGAACTTAACGTATATTCGTAAAGGGTCGCTTATTTATTCTATAGATACACTCATACATACCCTTTGACTTCACACATTTGGGACTAAATACAATCGATGTTGTTTGGTCATTTACTCTACAATTTGATAATAATTAATCTTATTAAATAATGAAAGATATATCTATATATATAGTCATATATATAAAGATTATAAAAGAAAATTCTAATCTAAGTAATAAAATAATTATAGCAATAATACAATAAAGAAGTTTTTTATTGTAATAAGAAAGATAATAAATAATACTCCCTTCAACCCCAATTGGATTACAAATTGGGGTTTACGAGGAGAAATATCTCACTTTTTGAAATCATTTTCTTTACAAATCGATATATCGATAAGAAATAAAAATGACATATTAAAAAAATTACGTCAAAAGTTCTACAAAACAAGAGGTGACAAGGATATTTTATTTTATCAATTCTTAATGAAATTGCATAAACAAACAAAAGTTCTCGAGATGAGAGAAAAAAATTATAACCAAATTGGGAACGGAGGGAGTAATATTCTATTATTTCTAATATCCCCGCAAACTAATAATCAGTAACGAGGAGTAACTTAGAACACATGTACTGGAATTAAGCAGGCGGAAGAAGTTTTGAAAGGATAGCTTCTAGAGGTAGAGACTCAGATCTTCATTGCATGACGAACGAGCTTGAGATTACATTTGCTGAGTTTTTCGATGAGAGTGTTGGCGATTGGAGTGAGGGTAAAGAGTTTCTTTTTTCTTCTTTTGGGCCATGCTCTCGGACTCTAGAAAAATATAAGAAACAGAAACAAATAAATTTTTTCTAGTTCTTTGATTGCACACAAGTTGTATTTGGAAAGAGAGATAGGGACGATTACTATTACGCGCCCTCAAAATTTTTTTGGGGAGAGAGAGTGATAAGGAACGACGAGACCATGGTCAATAGCGGTCGACCATCAATGATGAAGACCGGTTGTGGCGCACGATCGTAAAAAAAGGAAGCCTAGATTTTTGAGAAGAGAGATCTTGCCTCCAATACCATGATACAATTTGATAATAACTGATCTTATTGAATATTGAGACCGATTACATCATTATATATACAAAATACATGGAGAGTCATAATCACAATAGAATAAAAATTAGTGAAATTTGCACTAAATAGGACTAAAACATAATGACTTTCCTAATGTAGGACTTAAACTTTTTTATTCCCTAAATAGAACTTATTAATGACCTAGTGGAAGGAATAATGTCCAGTAATGATGGATATTTAGTTGAATAATGACTACTTGATAATGACCAAAGGTCCTACATTGGGAAATAAAAACATATGGTCCTATATTGGGAAAGTCATTATGTTTTAGTCATATTTAGGTAAATTTCTCTAAAAATTATAGAAACGATAGAATAAAGAAAATAATTAATAATAATATTTGTTTTCTTTTAGTTAGAGTATAAAATTAAACTTCCTTTAGGCCTATAATCACAAACTTGAACTTTGATTGAGGTTGTTCCTTGATATGTATCAGAGAGCCTTGTTGACCAAGAAGTTGCAATTTTGAAAAAAATCAATGCCATCCACTTTTGAAAAATAAGATTTCACGTGCTTAAAATAGCCACATTTTCACGTGAGAGAACGTGTTAAAATATACAAACTTTTTCTGAGTGTACGACCACAAGTTTTTGGCTGAGTTGGTTTCTCGATAATTATATCTTGACCATCAAATATGTGCTTTAATAGAAAGCTTGAGAGGATAGTCAAGGTGAGCATATGTTTGTCAACATGGTTGCTACCAAAAACAACAAGCAAAACGATAACACTCGTGTCGTGGAGGAGACTAGCCAAGCCGATGGGCGATGTCATGTTAGATTGTTAGTGCATCATTTAGGTTGTCCAATGGATGTAGAAACCCACAAGCTAAAATGATAACGCTATATGTTAAGAATCACACTATAGCCGTTTCAAGCTATCGTTGTCGTTTCGAGCTATTTTAACCATGCATGGATCTACAACAAACCATCAACTTGTTGGTTGATGACAAAGTCACCTCTTGTGGGAAGGCTATTTGAAGGGGTCGCCAGGAGAGGTCCCCCAAAGGTGATGAGAACCACTTGAAGGTGAAGATCATTTATGAGGAAGAGGATCCAACATAGTCAGAGTCTCAACCTTTTAAAAGCTCAATGACTAGTTGGGAAAGTAATAAGCATAAAATGTTTCGATCTTTGAGAGGTTGGAAAAGCCCATTGCCCCTCGTGCAAGCCTCGGCATGAAAAGGCTAATGCCTACCGTGCACGAGTGCTGCCAGCTCAAGCTCTTGGCCAGAAGAGTAAGAACGAAAGGTGAATAAATTCATCTCTCACCGATCAACCACAAAAACACCGTCATAGTTTTACATCTAGAGCATGGGTGAAACCACACTCTAGAATTTAGTCACCCATGACTTGGACAAATTCTCCAAAAGTACATGGTGGTTGCCGTCTTAATAATGAAACAAAACAAAATTAATAAAGGGACACAAATCTTGTGTCACTTCAAATAGTGAGTGGCACCCACGACTCTAGCTAGCTAGCTGGAACTTTACGTGTTTTGAACCTTTCAATGCCCCCACACAAACCTCACCAATCACACCATATATACCCCCAAATCCCCACTCCACAATTCTACCCCTTCATTAACTTGCATCTTATTGCTATACTATACAGCCTATACTATAAAACAGATTTAATATAACTATCTCTCGACACATATATATACTTAGCTTCAGGCAATGGCCAGATTTGCATTTGTCTGTGGAGTGATTCTTGGAATGCTGGTGGTGGGAGCCATGGCGGATGGGGCCTCTTGGGCGGCGTACCCAAGAAAGCTGTTGCAGGGGAATACAGGGGAGATGGGAAGCATAGCAGATCCGCCGCTTCCCGGCGGGCCGGGGTCGGAGTCCGGGGAAGAAGAAGCTGAGGCGCCGGAGAGTGTGGCGACGCACCACCACTCGGACAAGTCGGTCGCCGGCGGGGAAGTCATCATCGGCGGCCTTGTCACGGCACTCTTTGCTGCGGTTTATTGTTACATCCGGGTCACCCGGAGAAGGGTAGAGGGCGATCAAAGAAGCGTCTATTAACAATGTGAGATGGAAAATTAATTAATGAAAGTATAAGCTGTACGTGAGTAGTTATTATATTAGGTTAGCCATGTGCTTCGCATTATTGTACCATTAAATTTTACAAAAAAAAATAATTAGCATATGGAGTAATTTGCATTTGAAGTGAGCTACTTATAGAGAGTTATACCTTAAAATTGTGTCTCAAATTGCACAGTATTGTCAGTATGATACTAGGGTAATGATTCATACAAACACAAAATTGAGGTACAAATTTTTTTGATCACACTAGATAGTACTCCGTATATCATATTAGTGTATGTAAATCATCAAAATTTTAATGCATAATTTTGGTGTACATTTTAAAGTATATTTCAATTCTATAGGACATCTCTTGCATGATTGTTTGCGTTTCTACGGTAAAAATGTAGAGTATGAAAAGTAATCTAGAAGAATGTCCTCTTTGATACTTTGAATAGATATATGAAAAAGCTAAAGTATCAAAATGTAAACTACATGTTTTTCTTGAAAATGTTATTTACATCTTACTTTCTGCTATCAACACTCAAAAATACACTATATATGTGAGAGAATGAATAGAACAATTTTGGAATGTAGTTGTAAAAAATGGAGTGTAGGTATCATTTTCTCATGTTTTTATCATAAAAATATGATTAGAGTGTCAATAATTTCAAGTTGTCAACATATAATTTTAAAAAAAAACTATGGAATACTCATATATACTACCAAATTAAGACAAGGCAATAATAGTTTTATTTTAGGTTAAAAACAAAGAAGACTACAACCATGCTAGAGGTATACTATAGAATAATGTATTCTAAAGTGTAACTAAAGCCATACAATTTTATTTTGATAGTTTACACTGCTGACATAATATGTTAATGTGATAAAAAAAATTGTACAAGCATTTTGTGCTTGTGTTAACCATCACTCTAGCATCGCACAAAATAAAAATGCATACTTACGGTGTACAGATTGAGATACAACTTTTGAGGCACATGTAGCTTAATTCAAAAGACCAAAATAGAATAAAACATAGAAAATATATGAAAATAAGTGTTTCATGTTTCGATTCTCAAAGCAGAAGTTAACATGAATATAAAATGTCAATCATGCCAACATGTAATATCCTAAAATATAGTTATATATATATATATATATATATATATATATAGTGTCACATTGTCACGGTGTTGAAACTCTATTTTATTTCGTAATGCATTCTCTATATTTTATTCTTATTTAAGATAATTTTTTACAAGAATATAATAATTATACTATTTCAAAATCTCGCACTCACAATTTATGTATAAGTTGATGTACCATAAGTGAGTTCCAAAAATTGGTATCCAAAAGACTAATGTACAACTTGGTGTTCACTAGGTGAGTTGCAAAATTGGTAAAGAATTTCCTTCTCTAAAATGAGGATGCGTTGAAGTATTAATGAAGCTTTTGTAGGCTTGTTTTCATTTTTGTAATCCCGTAACCGATACTCCCTACAAACGACTTTACTCTTCATAACACAGTCCCATGGATTTGGACGCGCGATGAGAAGAAGATCAGAATGGATAGACGCATTCAGATCTTCCTAAACAAGATCTCCCTCGCCTCAATTGCCATCGCCACCCTCATCCTTCTCCTCCTCTACCTCCGCACTCCGGCCACCTGCGTCCACATCGCCAGCGGCCGCCTCAAGCCTCACCACCGCTTCCCCAAATCCACCTGCGGCTTCACCGCGCGCCCCTACACCTCCGTCGACAAACGCAACCGCCGCCTCTGGTCCACCGCCGCCTGGATCCGAACCGTCCGCTCCTACGCGGATCTCTTCCGGATCCTCCGAGACAAGCGCCTGTTCTCCGTCCAGTCTCGGGCCCTCGTGATCTCCGCCGGTCCAGGACACGCCGTCAGGGCGCTCCACCATCTCGGATTGAGCGACGTAACCGGAATCGAACTGATTGAGTCGCCGCCCCTGGTCAGCCGGGCGGATCCTCTCAATCTGCCATTCTTCGACGGTGCGTTCGATTTCGTGTTCAGCGCGTATCTAGATCGGGCCCTGTACCCGGCCAGATACGCGGGGGAGATGGAGAGGGTGGTCCGTGACGGCGGCGCGTGCGTGGTGGCCGTGGAGGAGTGCGGGGAGGGGGAAATCGAATCGGTGGCGAAATTGTTCCGGAAATCGAAGCTTCTGGGGGCGATGAACGTGACATTGGGCGGGGAAAGGAGGACTAGGATCGTGTTGAGAGTTAGAAATGGTTAGAAGTTCTCACACTATTGCATAGATAGAAACTGTATGTTATTTCCATAAATTGAAGAGTAATTTATCTAAATAAGACTAAAACATAATGACTTTCCTAAAATAAGACTATGTTTTTATTTCTCAATGTAAAACTTTTGGTCATTATTAATTAGTCATTATTCAAGTAAATGTTCATATGTCCATCATTGCTGGACATTATTACTTCCACGAAGATAATATTAAGTCTTATTTAGAGAATAAAAAATTTTAAGTCCTAGATTAGGAAAGTCATTATGTTTTAGTCCTATTTAGTACAAATTTCACTAAATTCAATCTCATTTCTAGTTATGAACTCATTAATATTGCTACGGTTTTTTTTGGTAAAATTGTGCCCGGGTATAGCAACATGTATACACCACTTAGTCCTACTAATTTAGAAAGTGAAAAAATGACCTACTAATTTAGAAACTTTCCCTACATTTCTGGTTCGTGAAGTGTTTAGAAAACGAGCTTTTTGGATTAAAAAGGAGTTGTGTTTCGAAATAATGATGCAAAAACTATTGAAAAGAAAAGAAAATTTTAGTTTGTTATAGAGCTTGGTTAGAAAAAGATGAACACAAAATGGAAAAATCAAGAGGCTATAATTTGTATATTCTTGATTTTGGCACTTTCAATATCCTCAATATAACACATAGATGCCATCTAAGGGGAGAGAATATGATGGTTTTGTTAGACATGTCAGGTTAGGGATATTTTAAAAAAAAGGCCTTTTTTCGTATTGGGCTGGGCTTGATAGATAAAGAGATTAAAGAGAAATAAATACGAAAGAGCGAGGTAGGGCCTTGTCTTTTGGAGCAAAATAACGACCCCATTTAGAAATTTCTAGATAGACTACTCTCTCTCTTTTTTTTGGAGAATATTGAGTTTCGTTTTCCATTTAAAAGTAAATTTATCAGCCTGTATTTGTTCATGTAAAATTAATTCATTTTTAAAAAAATCAGTTCTCAAACAAAAAAATCAGAAAGATTTGAAGCCAAATTATTTGGAACAATTGAACGTGCTCGCTAATATTTTAAATGATACTCAATATAAATAAATTAGATATATGCATTTCAACACATGTATTTTTAAGAGATTGTTTTTTTACTCTTTCCATCCTTTTTAGTCTACGTATTTTAGATTTGACTAGTAATTATGAAAAAAAGTACATTAGATTATGAGATGTATTTGATATTAATAAATTTTATTTGAAACATAATTTTGAAATATTACATTTTTATAATACATTATATACAAATAAAGATAATAATTATCAAAGTGTTGTATTGAAGATCATAAAAAATAAATTGGAAAAATTCAAAAAGCGCGGAGGGAGTATATGTTAATCAATCACAAATATATGTATGAGAAATTTACTTAAATATCAATTAAACATAATGATTTTTTCTAAATAACATCATATATTTTTTTCTCAATGTAGTATATTTAGTCATTATTCATCCTTCTAGACATTATTAAGTGATATTTAAGGAATAAAACAGTTTAAGTCCTATTTAGGAAAATGACTTAAATTTTATTATTATTTACTGCAAATATTTCATATTATGTATTCCATAACTGTAACACCCTCCGTCCTGAGAACCTGGTTCACCGCGATCCAACGAGCCGGAGAGGTTACGTAGACGGTTTTAAGGTCGTCTACAAGGAAAACCCCTTGCATTGCTTGTAACGGAAAACCTCTTGATATATTTTATTAAATGATAAAATTAAATTCACTTAAGAGAAACATTTTATAGCGGAAGCAATGTAATCGTTTAACATTAAGTCATAAATAGAGAAAGTGCAACAATGGTGGGTTCAAGCCCAAAATGTTTTTCATAATTAAATAGCTAATTAATTGGGTCCACACTGTCATTCATCCGCCACCCCGATCACCCAATCATCCGGGTCAGGCTCCATGATCCTCTGGCCTACCTGCGTATAGCAAAGGAAAACAACGCTATACGCTCAGCAAAAGCTGAGTGGTAATCTAACAGTAGAACGCATAGTAGATTCACATTGATATAAGCATAATCGTACCTGTACTAAAGTACGTGATACCACTTACGAGTTCAGTGAATAAAAGTTACAAATAAATAATGATGCAACGCCAAATAATCATGATGCATGAGTTAGACTGCGCAGGGACCCCCTGCTCTTCGGTGATCATCCCCACGCGGTAGATGAGCCGAGGAACGCCTTAGTCACCCCGATGGAGACTAGAAATGTGGGTGATAGCTAAGCCTAGCTACCATGTACGTACACAAGCCCTCCTGATGAAACCCGTTGGATCCCGAAGGCTCCTGGACGGGCCCGCGGAAGAGGCGCACTGGGCCTGACCTCTTGTCGCGATATGCAAGTATGTCATGATCTTCTGTTCCCAAAGTCCTGCAGCTTGTGTTAGTCGATTGTCACTTGGTGACAATCGATTGTCATGTTTGCTTGTTCGGGGAATCCAAGTTCAGATAGGCCTGATAATCGACTAATACATGGTGATAATCAATTATCAGTGAAACCAAACTTTGACTCAAGAATCCGCCAGGCCTGATAGTCGATTATCACATAGGTGATAATCGATTATCACACTTTGCTGGTTCAGCTGAGGAGTTTAGCGTGACCCGATAATCGATTATCAAGTTTTGTAAATCGATTATTAAGGCACGCTGATTCCTATTTTGCCTGTTGGTTTTACATCAAGACGTTAAGAGTTTTAGAAATGAACGTTTATGTTTTCGGCTTAAGTAATGGATGAGTTTACAAAGTTTCATAACGTTTATATTATCAAGTGTGTAATCGAAAGGTCCAACCAACGAAGAGTCATGATAACGTGGATGCGCGTAGATTTAGCCGGGTAATCCTAGGGATATAACGATGTGACTATACTATGAACTCTAAAGTTAGAGGGTAACGTACTCACCTATAAATGAAGGGGTTGATGAAACGAAAATGAGATGAACGAATGGATGATGATGAACGATGAACGAACGAGTGAACAACGTCCGGCTTCTCGTGTGAACTTCTCCTCTTCTACCTCCCCGTATACTCGTTGGAAAACCCCCTAGAGCTGCTATGGCCTTGCCGAAAATGCAAGGGAAAAGGAAGGGAGGGTGAGGGAGTTATGGAAATGGGAGTTACCAATGCTAAGGAAATGAAGGGAGAGGCCAATATATTGAATGGAGATTTATGAGGGGAATGAATGTGATTTAATGGGTATTGAGGAGTACATGGCTGGCGTGAGAATTGAAGTGGGAGTTATCTCCCTAATTTACTCTGTTGTGTAAAATATGACCTGAACGGTACGCGGTTTTCCCCCCGAACAAATCCGAATTGAGACCCGTTTTCGTTTCCGGAAACAGACAGTCAAAACAAATATTATGACGTGTTCAAATAATTTTTCTAAGGATTTTTTTTACCGACTCTGATCCGAGTTAGTAATTAATTAAATTAATCAATTCTAATAGACCGAGTCGCAGGGCGTTACAATAACTTTGAGGTTTAATTTATATTGAGAGTATGGGTGTCATAATAAGTTTTTAAAATCAGATTGATTGTTATTCATTCATATAACAAAACCAATACTCATATACTTTCAATTTCTCTTTTGCATTATATTATTTGATTATTTTCACTCATTATTTCATAATAGTTTCTTCATCCCAAATTAATCTTCCAAGTTATTATTCATGGATCAAATAAATTCTTGTTGGAGTTCTCACATTGAAAAATAAAGAAGAACATCACTTGCATATATGGAATAGTGAATCCCTACTTATTAGCTTAAACTTTTGGGTAAGAAAGTGGATCCCGACTTTATATGTGAGTGATTAATATCTTAATTTCATTCGACACTCCCCCCGTTGTTCTAGGCCCACTAGAATTTTAACATGATATCAGAGCAGATCCGGTCAAGGTTTTATTGTTTATGGTTATTTGGATGTCGGTATAGCAAAATGAGCTACCCGTCTGTAGTTTGGGTTGAGTTGGCTATAAGAGAATGAGAAGCCATCACCCGTTGTGTATGGGCTCTCTAAAATAGATTGAATATCAAACCCGTTTGTCCAAGTGATAACTAGACCAGGCTAGCATCCACTTGAGAAGAGTGTTGGAATTCTCACGTCGAAAAATAAAGAAGAATAACACTAGGATATATAGATTGGTGAAGTCCTACTTATTAGCTTAAGCTTTTGTGTTAGAAAACAGATTCTGACTTTATATGAGGACAAATAGTTAATTTTACGAAACACTTTACCGAAACAGACGCATTAAATTGAAATGAAAGTAGTACCTTTAATTTTTTTGTTTACAACAATTTTCATGTATATTAATTTGAAGATAATTTTAGTCAACTATCAAAATCCATAGATAATATTTTTGGAAGGAAAGGAATATAACATAGTCATGTGGTATCTAGTACAATTTTGAAATATACAATTTTATGTTTTAACTTTACATTTATAATCAAGTAAAATAAAATAAAAATCAAAGTAATCAAGTTTTGTAAGGTTACAAGAGAAAACAAATTGGAATTCAACACCCAAAGAGCATTGTTTTTTTAGTAAATTTCATAATTGGTCTATTATAACATGTGATTTCCATATTTAGTCCTCTATTATCAAATATTACGCCCGTAGTCCTTTTTTTAAGGGTGTCTATCCACAAATGGTCCTTTTTTGATCTTCTGCCAAGTAGGTGTTAATTTAAAGGCTAATTTGACATCAACATTATGTCTAATGACGTGTTCTGATATTGGTTAAGCGAATAACACAAAAATAATGACTATGATTGTGGACTAGAATTCAGACGAAAGACCACATTTATAGACTATGTTTGTAGTAGAAAGCGACTGTAATTCACAAACGATGCAAACTAAACAACCTTTGAAATTGTGTATGAAAAAAAAGATATAAAGATATATTATCATTGTGAAATTACATTTTTATCCTTGAAATTAACACAAACATGATTGAAGATCAAAAAAGGACTATTTGTTGACAGATACCCAAAAATGAAAGACTACTAGAATAATATTTGATAATAGAGGACCAAATAGAGAAACGACTTTTATAGGGAACGACTTTGTTATAAAAGACCAATTATACG